TGGAAGGAGTCACAAACACTATGCTACACTGTTTGCATTTATCACTATCACTTTCTCCAAATAACCCTATAAGGTAGGAATTATTATCCTCATCTTATATGTGAACCATACTTCTAGCAGAAGCCATCAGTCTCCAGAGTGAGTGTGCTAATGCACCGGAACCATAGCTCTGACGGAGATGCTTCTGGTGACTTCTGTGAGTGGATAGCATCTTTCTGTCATTGGAATCACTGGTCTTCCAGTCTCCCCAACACCACAATTCCTTATTCTAAGAACAGAAGGACGGGTTCTCCATGGTGTAGGCTCCACACTGTGGAGGACAAGTGGATCTTCAAATTATCTGTAAAAATAACATTCAACTATTTTCTGAGATATTGAGTCTGCAAAGCATTGTATCTTAGCCTATACTTTCCAAATGGGGAACAAGCCAAATTGTCATTCTTATTTCTCCAAGACAAAACAAACTTCATCTTGATTGCAGATATACAGACCACACCTCACTTGTATGTCCTTCACTCATCTTAATGTGCTTCACCGGTTCTCTACTGTATGCGGAACAAAAAGCTGAATAATCAGGATAGAGCCCTAGTCTGCTGGCCCTTAACCTTGTGAAAACACCCAACGAAAATGGAGCCTTGAGACTTAGAAATTTCCAGGTAAGTAGAGCAGACAGAATGCTTCTTATCTTTGATTTCCATAAATTATTCACCTGAGTTTCCAATTTATACCTAATTTCACAAAATGATACTGTTTTGTTGTTTCTGTCCTTAAAATAGATCTACACGTGGCCTGTAAAAAAAAGGCATGCATAAAATTGAAACAATGCTATCACCTATTTCTGAAGTATTGAAATAGCAAACAAAGCTGTATTAAACACCAATGTACTGGTAAGATCTTCTTTTCTCAGTGATCTTCCTGCCCCCTCAGAGATTCAGTAGGTTCTATTCCAGTGTGCATCATTGAAAATATTTTCACATATTCATATATAAAATAAAATTCATCATACTGAGAAACATTAAAAGCAGTTTTATTTTTTATAATTTCTTTATTTAAAATATTTTTCTTTCCTTTTACATACCAACCCCTGTTCCCCTTCCTTCCCTTTCTCCCGCTCCCCCCTTATTCCCCACCCTACCCCCACCCCCTCCTCATAGAGGGTAAGGCCCTCCTTGGGTAGTCAACACAGGCTGGCATACCACATTGAGGCTGGACCTAGCCCCTCCCCCCTGCACCAAGGCTGAGCAGTTTCATTTTAAAGTAGTGCATCTTTTCCCATGTTCTAGTTTAGCACTCTCAGCTGGGCAGCTCTGCTATACATTGACTTGACTTTGATAAGGAAGTTGAGTCTTTTCATTTTCAAATTCTAATCCCGTCAAAACCACATCCATTCCTTTTCTGTGTTTCTTTGTATTATCCTCTGCGCCAAGAATCCCCATGCCCTGTTCACCAGTGCATGCAATACTCCCTACAGACCCCATTTGAAATTGATTAATTTGCCGGGCAGTGGTAGCACATGCCTTTCATCCCAGCACTTGGGAGGCAGAGGCAGGTGGATCTCTGTGAGTTCGAGGCCAGCCTGGGCTACAAAGTGAGTTCCAGGAAAAGTGCAA